TTGGATACGAGTCCTATAGCTAAAGGAAAAAATGGCTTCAGGTGTTTTGAAGCGGTATGGTTGATGGATAAGGTCACAATAGAAATTGTTAAGAAGGCATGGGTTGTCCTGGTTCGAGGATCTTATGCTTTTCAAACAATGCAACATCAGAAGTTTGTAACACAACATCTTAGGATTTTGAATAATCTGCAATAGAAAAGTTTAGCTGCGCAAATTGTTAGGGTTAGAACTCAGTTGTTAGAGATTCATAATAGATGAGACTTATTGTCCTTATATAATGAAGAACAAAAATTTAGACAATGTCAAGGTGATTTGTTGCAAAAACAGGAAGTATATTGGGCCTAGAGAGCACGGCAAAAATGGCTTCAATTTAGGGATAGAAACACCAAGTTTTTCCATATGGCTACAACTATCTGTGCTAATAAAAGAAGGATTTTGTTTTGAAGCGATATGGTTGATGGATAAGGTCACAATAGAAATTGTTAAGAAGGCATGGGTTGTCCTGGTTCAAGGATCTTATGCTTTTCAAACAATGCAACATCAGAAGTTTGTAACACAACATCTTAGGATTTTGAATAATCTTCCATAGAAAAGTTTAGCTGCGCAAATTGTTAGGGTTAGAACTCAGTTGTTAGAGATTCAGAGTAGATGAGACTTATTGTCCTTATATAATGAAGAACAAAAATTAAGACAATGTCAAGATGATTTGTTGCAAAAACCGGAAGTATATTGGGCCTAGAGAGCACGGCAAAAATGGCTTCAATTTGGGGATAGAAACACCAAGTTTTTCCATATGGCTACCACTATTTGTGCTAATAAAAGAAGGATTTTGTTTTGAAGCGGTATGGTTGATGGATAAGGTCACAATAGAAATTGTTAAGAAGGCATGGGTTGTCCCGGTTCGAGGATCTTATGCTTTTCAAACAATGCAACATCAGAAGTTTGTAACACAACATCTTAGGAATTTGAATAATCAGCAATAGAAAAGTTTAGCTGCGCAAATTGTTAGGGTTAGAACTCAATTATTAGAGATTCAGAGTAGACGAGACTTATTGTCCTTATATAATGGAGAACAAAAATTAAGACAATGTTAAGATGATTTGTTGCAAAAACAGGAAGTATATTGGGCCTAGAGAGCAGGGCAAAAATGGCTTCAATTTGGGGATAGAAACACCAAGTTTTTCCATATGGTTACAACTATCTGTGCTAATAAAAGAAGGATTTTGTTTCTCAGAATGAAGGATGGTTCTTTTTGTACTAATCAGATGGATATTCAGAATGCCTTCTTGAACCATTTCAAGACTTTGTACCAAACCTTCGACTTATCTCCTTCAGGTACTTCACTGCCTTTTTCTTATCTTGAAAATTATTGTCTGCTTTCAATTGTAGATTGTTGAAGAAGCAAAAAGGGTTTTGAATTCTTCGTTTTTGGCTCAAGAAGTGAAATAGACTGCCTTTTTTTATGGGAGGGGTTAAGGCCCCGAGATCGGATGCTATGACTGTGGCCTTTTATCAAAATTCTTGGGACACGGTTGGGGATTCGATAGTCTCTGTAATGTTGTCTATTCTTAATTTGGGGATCATACTTAAGGAGATGGACCATACTTTCTTAGCTTTAATCCCCAAGAAGAAAGATATGCAATTTGACCCATAAGTCTTTGTAATGTCATTTATAAAATCATTTCTAAAGTCTTAGTGAATATATTGAAAGAAATTCTTCCTGCTTTGATTCACCCGTCGCAGAACACTTTTGTTGCGATTGGTTTCATTACTGCTAATGTTCTGGTGGCTTATGAATAAATGGAATTTATTAGGAAAAAAATGGGGGGGGGGGGGGAAAAGGGGGGGAATAATTATTTTTATTTTTTATTCTTTTTTGTGTGCGCTTAAATTAGATATGAATATGATAGAGTTAGGATTTTCTGTGTAAAATCTTGGAGGTTTTGGGTTCAGTTCACATTGTCAACTGTTTCTTTCTTGATATTGGTGAATTATCAACAATCCGAATGGTCTCAACCGAAATGTGGTCTAAGACAAAGGGACCCATTGTCTCCGTACCTTTTTATCAAGCCTTATCTTTGGCATTAGATGCTCTTGCGTCCCAGGGTGTTCGTAAAGGTATGTCTATTTATCATAATGCACCTGTTATTTCTCATCTCCTTTTTGCGAATGATTGCTTATTTTTCATGGAGTTTGATTTGGAGTCGATTTGGTTTTTGAAATGGTTTCTGGAAGCTTTTTGTGACCAATTCGGTCTTTGGATTAATTTTCATAAGTCTGAACTTTTTGTTAGTCCTAATATGAGCCCAACTCAGTGTGGTTTTCTTAGTGATTGTGTTGGGGTCAAACTGGTTGATAGACTTGGAATGTATTTGGGTGTAGTTCTAGGTGCTGGATGTTCTAAGGTAGATTAAAGTCATATTCTCAATAGATTTTTTGTTAAGCTGTTGGGATGAAATGTAGTCTTTTATCGTTTGCTGGTGGATGTGTCTTGTAGACATTAGTATTAAATCATGTGGGAGTTTAAATAAATATTTGATTCAAGTCAGATTGATAAATTTAAATATAATTAATTGGACTCTAATAGAAGTCAAACATTACAAGAAAAGCGGGTTTATGAGACGGAATTATTTGCGACGGCACATTTGCCGTCTAAAAAAAGCAGAGTATTTGCAACGGCACCATTTGTCATCTCAAAAAAACAGAGCATTTGCGACGGCATACCGTCACAAATACTCTCATTTTTTGAGACGGCAAATGGTGCCGTCGCAAATACTCTGCTTTTTTGAGATGACAATTTCTGCCGTCGCAAAAAGTGACTTTCGTGTTTTTTTTTGTTTTTAGTGAATATTTTTAAAATTTTAAATATTTTTTTAAGATGCACATTACTTAGATGTATCTAAAAAATACAAAATTTATGAAAAAATATTTTTAAAAATTAATAAATACATAAAAATACAAAAAAAAAATGTATTGAATTATTGTATTTTTTTTTTGTATTTTTGGTATTTAGTGAATTTTTAAAAGATTTTTTTTACAACTTTTTCATTTTTAGGTGTATTTATGTTAGATGTGTCTAAAAATTAAAAAAAAAATACTTAAAATATTTAAAAAATTCAATAAAAACAATATAACACGGAAAACAAGAAAGTATAATTTTCTCAAAAGAGTTTTTGGAAAACTCTAACCTAGCATAGTGATTGTGGTTTTGAGATAGCTTTATATATATACAGTCACAAAATGATTTGAATAAATTCAACAATATTTTTCTGTCGCAAAAAATAAAAATAAAAAACACAATGTCGTCTTACTCTTTGATATAACATTTCTCTTTTCATTCATTTTTTCATCTTTCTGTCTCTCTGTCTCTATCTCTCTCTCTCTCTGTTTATCTCTTTCACTCATCACTCTTCTTTCTCTGTCTGTCTGTTTCTTTCTCTCATTTTCTCTCTGTGTCTCCCGCCTATCTCTCTTCTCTCTATCTCTCTCATATGTTTTCTTTTTCTGTCTCTTTCGCTCATCTCTCTTCTCTCTATCTCTCTCATTTCTTTTCTCTCTCTCTCTTATCTTTCTATCTCTCTTTATCTCTCTCGCTCATTTCTCTTCTCTCTCTGTCTCTCTATTTTTCTGTGTCTCTCTCTCGCTCATCTCTTTTCGCTCTATTTCTCTCTTTTTTTGTCTATCTCTCGCTTATCTCTTGTTTCTCTCTCTTTTTCTATCTCTTTCTCTTTCTATCTCCCCCTCTCTTTCTCTCTCTATCTCTTTTTCTGTCTATCTCTCTCTCTCTTTCTCTCTCTCACTCATCACTCTTCTCTCTTTCTCTCTCACTCATCACTTTTCTCTGTTTGGCTGTCTCTCTCTTTCTCTCTGTGTCTCTGTCTCTCTTCTTTTTTTCTCTCTCACTCATCACTCTTCTCTGTCTGTCTGTCTGTCTGTCTCTTTCTGTCTCTCTCTTTCTCTCTCTGTGTCTCTCGTCCATCTCTCTTCTGTCTATCTCTCTCTGTCTCTGTCTTTGTCTCTATCTCTCTTCTCTTTCTCTCACTCACTCATCACTCTTCTCTGTCTGTCTGTTTCTCTGTTTCTCTTTGTGTCTCTCGCCCATCTCTCTTCTCTCTATCTCTCTCATCTCTCTATTCTCTTTATCTCTCTCATTCTCTCGCTCATCTCTTTCTGTCTCTCTCTCATTTATCTTTTTTCGCTCATTTCTCTCTCTCTCTCTCTTTGTCTGTCTATTTTCACCCATTTTTTCATCTTCCTCTCTCTCTTCTCTTTCTCTCTCTTACTCATCACTCTTCTCTCTCTATCTGTCTGTCTGTCTATCTCTGTCTCTCACTCATCTATCTCTTCTCTCATATGTTTTCTCTCTCTGTCTCTTTCGCTCATCTCTCTTCCCTCTATGTCTTTCTCTGTCTCTTTCGTTCATCACTATTTTCTCTATATCTCTCTCGCTCATCTCTCTTCTCTCTCTATCTCTTTTTCTGTCTCTCACTCTCTATCTCTTTCTCTCTTTGTCTCTCCCTCTCTCTCTCTGTGTCTTTGTCTCTCTCTCTTCTCTATCTGTCTCTCACTCATCTCTCTCTCACCACCCATCTCTTCTATCACATTCACCACTACTGCAAATGTCATTCCACTACTAGCTTTATTACCATTGTTGCCACTCCACCTCTACGACTACCATTACTACCACCATCGTTACCACTCCATTACCACTACCACCACCACTATTACTATTACCTCTCCCCTACCACCGCCACTCCATCTCATCTACCACTACCACAACTTCACCACTAATCTCATTCACCACCACCACCACCTTCATCACTACTGCCGCTCCCTCTCCTCTACCACAAAAAAATATTTTTCATTGATCGTAAAAAAATAATTTTATTTTAACGAAAAATATTTTTTATTAAAATATTAGCTCTACCAAATAAAAAAAAAAATCATTAAAATAAAAATGAAACAAAATTTCCCCCTTTTTTCATTGACCCGCCAGCTCAAACAATTTCCCCCATTTTTTCTCTGTCTTTCCCCCCATTTTTTTTCATTTCCTTTCAGGTTTGCAGAGCCCTAAGTTTCGAAAGAACAATCTCTCTCTCTCTCTCTCTCTCACGGAGGCGAGCGACGAGCGGGGAATTTTGGTTTGGACGAGCAACCGGCAGGACCATGATTCTCGACAAGGGTCAGCTTCTCGAGACCAAGCAAATGTTCCGCGACGCCGGTGAGCAGTGGCCTGTTATTATCCCCGAGGAGGAGATCCGCCGAGCAGCCCCTGGTACTAAGGTAACAGTTTCTGATCAAATCTCGACATTTTTTGATTCATACATTTGATCGAACAGTTGGTGGGTCTTTATTATTCTTTCTTCATTGTTGTCCGAACATTAGTCGTCATGTTTGTCAAATAAACAGCAAAAAGACTTTTCTTCTTCTTAATCTTCTTCTCCACTGCTTTATCTGCTTCAAAGGTGATGGGATTTGAAGTCATAACCATCCATCACTCCATGAACAAGAGCAGACAATATTTCAACAGACAATATTTCACAGATTGGTGCACGAGACACCTTTTCCAGGGATGATAACAAATCAGCACGAGTTTCTTCAATAAGTGGGTTGATGAATGACTTCATGTAGTGATCAGTTGATAAATATGTCATTGGAATTTGCTTAACCTGTCAAAAAAAAAAAAAAAATTCAAAATTTAAAACAGACTTCACTTGTTCATGTTGAATAGCTTGATGGGGCCCTTTTCTCAGAGCAGTTCTACGATTCACGTCACTTTGTTTGCATTTAGTCCTGAATGCATCTTTCTATTTGGTGCATTAATCATAGAAATAATCACAACCAAACTATAGTAACTAATAGTCTAGTCTTATCTTAATTTATTTTATCTAATAGGCTAGCTCTTGGGAGCTTATTGGGTCTCATTCTGTAACTCTGTTGAAGGCAACCACTACATGGTACACCTATTGGTTATGTTACTCTTTGATCTAGCTTTACAATCTCAAGTCATCAAATAGTCTAGGGTTTATATAGAGTATTTAATAGACTATTAGCTTATTTACTCTTAGATATATAACATAAAACTACATAGATATATAACATAAGACTATTAGCTTATTCACATCATACCCATCATCCATCCATCCATCCATCCATCCACACATACATGCATGCATTCCAAAGTCAACTGCTAGGCTCTCACTCTCTCTCCCTCCCTCTCTCTCTCTCTCTCTCTACTACATTTTTTTCTCTCTTCTACCATTTATCTGAGTGGAGTACAGACCTTGAGTGAGTTGGGTGATCAAGTGTGTGTTTTTAGACTGAAATGGGAAGAGCACCTTGCTGTGAGAAAGTGGGGTTGAAAAGGAGATGGACTGCAGAAGAAGATGAGATCTTGACCAAGTACATTCAAGCTAATGGGGAAGGTTCTTGGAGGTCTATGCCCAAGAATGCTGGTGAGATTTTCTACTCTTCTTATTACATTTCACTATATCAAACTTATATATGTATATGTATCTTTCAAGAAACAAATGGAATGAGTCTTATATTTTTTATTTATGGTTTTGAAGGGTTACTTAGGTGTGGGAAAAGCTGCAGACTGAGATGGATTAACTACTTGAGATCTGACTTGAAGAGAGGCAACATATCTTCTGAAGAAGAAGAAATCATCACTAAATTGCACTCTACTTTGGGCAATAGGTTAGTGCAGCATTCCCTCATTATCTTTCCAACAAAAAATCTGTAGACATAATCTATGATGTGAATTTTGAAATTTTTTTATTGAAATTTGAGATTAGATATTATAGAAGTGATGACTGTAAAAATATTAGAGACCTTAAACAATTTATTACAAATTTTACCAAATATATATATGAATATGAATTTTACATGAGTAAATATGATTATGATTATAAGTTTTACATGGGTGTGAACGTCACAGAGTGGTTAATTAACTTTTTTTATAATATTTTGTGTATCCAACGTTGCTCCAAAATTATCTTCCATTCTATATGGTAGGGAACAGGACATATCTATGCAGGATTTCCCCAATATTTTTATGACCGAATCTTAACCGTATGATTTTGCCTCAATATTTTTATGTTTTAAAACTGGCGTTACGCTATGTTATTGAAATTGTAAAGCTAGCCTGTTAGATAAAAGAGTAAATAAGCTAATAGGCTAGTTTTATGTTATATATCTATGTAAATAAGCTAATAGCCTGTTAGTAACTAATAGTCTAGTTTTATGTTATATATCTATGTAGTTTTCTCTTTGTTCATGGTTGTCTAGGGTTTCTATAGAGTATTTAATTGTATATTCATGTGCCATGTGAGCTAGATGTTTTTAGATTAGTGTTTAATTTCATGCTTTCATGGTGATCTGTGAAGGTTTTAACAGTCAATATTGATAAGTCATGTTAGAGATTGGTTTTGTTTTTTTGTTTTATTTTTTGGTGTGATAGATCGATGTGACTTTCTATATATGATGTTGAATAATCCTTTTTGTTGTGATACATAAAAGTGACTTGTTTTCTTAAAAATAATTGTCTCATCCTTTGTTCTGTCATTTTTTTGTTTTGGTTAAGGGTTTTTGATTTGTAGGTTTTGTAGACAGTACAAGCCTGAAGTATGAGGAAATTGTTTACTGTTTAAGCTTGGAGTTGTAATCTATCAATATCCCTGGGAGTGCTACCTTTTCTTGAAATTCAAATATTGTCTTGGTAATTGTGTTGTTTGTGATTTGGATGTTTACCTCCTATGTGTGTTGTGTGTTTTTTTTGGGTTCTTGGTTAGTGTTAAATATTGTCTTAGAAAGTCTTCCATCTTTGTTTTGCATGATTCCTCTTATCTATCTTTCAATAAGTTGCCGCTAATCCACAAAAGCACTGGTTCACTAATTATCTTAAAGAGGCTTGCCAATTAAGATTGCTGATTTTGATTTGTGAATCATGATTTTTCCATCTGATATTCGTACCTCCAAAAATAGCTCTATTTATTTTTGTTTTTTCTTTTGCATCTGAAGTGACACTGTTAATGGGTAAAATAAGCATGTATTTTTGAGCATGAAAGGGCTCCTCAATTGATTTGAAATGATTGCTGATTGAACTTAGTGAACATGGTACTGTGGTCAACTTTGACAAATTATTGTTTTATCTGTGCTATTTTACTATTATAAAGGGAGAAACCAGCTTGGTGAGTCCTAAACCCATTTTTAGATTGCTGTCATATATACTTGTTTAATGGATTATGGTTTGAATAAACAACCTTTTGGCTAATTTTCCACCATGTCTACAGGTTGGCTATGCATGAAGAATCATCATCCAGGCGAAAGGTGATAGTACTTTTTAGCTAAGATGATAGTACTTTTTATAAAGTTCTCCATTTTATGGATGTCGAGTGTAAATATATGTTGGCCATGATGTGAAATTGTTAATAACCAATTATGTATTTAAAGAAAATAAAAATGCCAATTTTCAGTTCTTCCCCACACCACAGGAATTGACACATAATTATATTTAAAAAAATTAACACATAATTATATTGTCATTAATTATTTTTATTTTTTGTTTTTATATATTTCTCCAGTAGTAGTTTGCTTCTTGTGGAATGCAGGCGTATGAAGATTGCTATTAACTTTTGTTTTTGTTACCCACGAAAGAATCATGATGAAAACTTTTGTTTTTGATTTATGTTATTTTGAATTGTGAACAACATTATGTATTTAAACATTGTATATGTATTATGCAACATTATATAGTGGGATAATTTTGCTGATGTATTGTTATGAATGGAAGAATATTTTTATTATGGATGAATGAAATTTTTATATTATTATGTAATTATTGATTTCTTTTTTAATTATTTTTCATTTAATACAGGTATTTTTCATGCTTTTAATAATTTTATTGTATTTTTTTTTTTTTTTTTTTTTGAGACGGCACTACATTGCTGTCGCAAATGATATCTGCACTAGCTGAGACAAAAGTTTTTTGCGACGGTACTCTTTGCCATCGCAAATGATATTCGCATTAACTAAGACAAAAGCCTTTTGCGACGGTATTTTTTGCTGTCGCAAATAATCTTTTAGTGACGGTAGGTATCCTGTCGCAATAAAAATTCTGCAAACAATGCCTTTAGCAACGGCAGCATAGTGCCGTCTCAAAAAATTTTAGATTTTTTCATATTAATGGCGACGACAAAATTCCGTCGCAAAAAGGCAACTTTGCCGTCGCAAAAAAAAGGTGACGGCAACGTGTCGTCGTTAAAACCTTTTTGCAACCCCTTTGTTGCGACCCCTCACTTGTCGTCGCTAAAAGTCTTCTGCCGTTGCAAAAAATCTTTTGAAATGGCATTTTGAGTATTTGCGACGGCATTTTGTCGTCGCAAAAAGTCAATTTTTTTTGTAGTGAAGCTTACATGGCTTAAGAAGGTGAATGTCTAATGGAAGTCAAATATTTATCAGATGTGTCTTGAATTGGTTTATTTTTTAGTATTAAACCATATGGGAGTTTAAATAAATATTTGATTTAATTTAGTAATATTATGGTTTGATCAATTGGTTTCGAATTAGAGTTAATTAAATTATGAGGTGATGATGAGGATTGAGAATTAAGATTATCATGAATTAAATTTATTTATGAAGTGTTCAATTGAATATGTAATTTATTGACGGAAATTTTGAGTTTGATCTAAAATTGAAGGCCTTAAAGATTTGGAAAATCAAAATTAATGATGATAATAAGTTTAATTTGATATTTGGAGCTTTTTGAGAGTTCGATTAAAAATTTGAATCAGATTGATAAATTTAAATATAATTAATTGGATTCTAATGGAAGTCAAAATAAATTAATTAAATTATGTGAGATTTATGGTTAGTTATGATTAATTAAATTATGTACTAATCAAGATTTATTAAAAGTAAGTGATGTATAATTAAATTAATATGTGATTAGTATGCTAAAGCCGAGTGGAAGTGGGAGCATGTCACGATGTATTTTATTGTGGGTCTTTCGAGGACTCAACGAAGTAGTGATGCAATTTGGGTGGTAGTTGACCGATTGACCAAGTCGGCGCACTTTATACCTATGCATGTGAGTGACTCGGTAGATCTTCTTGCCAACCTCTATATTAGGGACATAGTGAGGTTGTACGGGATCCCTATGACGATTGTTTTAGATAGAGAGACGCGTTTCATGGCTCGGTTATGGTAGAGCCTACAGAGTGCCTTGGGTACGAGATTGACTTTTAGTATTGCGTATCATCCTCAGACTGATGGGCAGTCCGAGCGTACTATTCAGATCCTTGAGGATATGCTTCAGGGTTGTGTTTTTTACTTTAAGAGGTCGTGGGAGAGACATTTGCCCTTAGTGGAGTTTGCCTACAACAATAGCTTCCAATCGAGTATTGGCATGGCACCATTTGAGGCCTTGTATGGTTGATCGTGTAGATCCCCTGTGTGTTGAGCCGAGATGGGTGATACACCTATGTTGGGTCAAAAGTTAGTCCGAGAAACGACGGAGAAAGTTGTATTTATTCGTAAGAGTTTGGCTACTGCCCAGAGTCGCTAGAAAAGTTATGTCGACCGTAGAAGGAGATCCTTGTCTTTTGAGGTGGGAGACCATGTCTGCTTGAAGATATCACCTATGAGGGGTTTGATGAGGTTTGGAAGATTTGGAAAAAGTGAGAAGTTGTCTCCTCGATTCATTGAGCCTTTTGAGATCTTTGAGCGGATTGGAGAGGTAGCTTATCGGCTTTACCGCCATAGCTTTTTGAAGTTTATGATGTGTTTCATATTAGCATGCTTCAGAAGTATGAGTCAGATCCATCGCACGTGTTGGATTGGACCGACTTAGAGGTAGATGAGGATGCCTCGTATGAGGAGAGATCGGTAAGAGTCATGGATACTGTAGCTTCTTTTTCGTGCTCCTTGGAGAGGTTTAGTCTCCTTGGGTATGTTAGCCCTACAGTTCAAACTCCCGTGATTCTGAATCTGATTTCACAAGTGCAATGTGAAACAGATAAACACAAAAGAGTCCAAATTCAGCAACTCATTTTAGAAAATCAATTTTGAATCAAAGATGCCAAAAATAAACTGCATTGCCAGATTTCAGAGTCGTCACCTAAATATTTTTGGAATATTTAGGAAACTCGTGACTCGTGCCAAAGGCCACTTGTCCGTCATCACCAAAGTGTCTCGGCTCGAGAACTTAGGTATGAGAGAGGAAGGTCATCAATTAAGTACCCCACTTATCCAATTAAAGATCGGCCTCTACTAATCATGATGTAATTTTTATTTACATTATACGCTCTTGTTCCGATTATTATACTATCTTTACTATGTGATACACACAAGTATAGACTAATTCGTAAAATTTGGAACGCTTTGATTTCATGTTTGTTTTAAAAGTGTTTCAATATATATCACTTGAAGAAGTGATCTCATATGTACATTAGTCAAAACATCCCAACTTAAGCGAAAAATTCATCCAGCAGCATTCAAATAGGTATATCAACAAGCACTTAGCCTCATGGAAAACATGCTTGATATGGCAACACTAACATTCATGCAATATGCTAAAGCAAAACTGCTCACCTTGTACTCTGAGGTAAGCCAAAGTAAACAAAAGTAGGCAGAAAAATGCATGACCCTAAGCAATGCAACATGACTAATGCAATGTATACAACATGCAATTAATAGGCTCGGCTACTAGTATGGTATGTGAGTCAATACAAGGCATGCGATAAAAGCACGTATTCGGGTAAGGAATTGAAATTGACATGGATTAGCATGATGAGTTGAACCTTATGTATGTAAACATGGATATAAGTCATGGCAATGATGTGAAAGTGTAAAATATGATGCTACCATTATAAGCGAGTAAATAAAAAGGAAAAAGAAATGGGAGTTGGAAGACATACACACATTATTACATATTTGCCCTCGCTCAGGAGGGTCCGAATAAATGTCCTAATTTAGCAATGTTAAAAATTGGGCGCCCACGTGGCATGACCCTTTAAACCTTTTGAACATGAACCTTTTGAACCTTATCCATGTAAGTTTGCATTTTAATTTAAAACTTATTTGGATAACTATTCAGGATATCTATATCTATTATATCAATAGATATGGATAGATGGATAGATAGATATTGGTGATTATATATCTGATTATATATTTTTGATAATATATTGATATATCAAGTACGTATATCAGATACGTTTTGTGGTTTTTACGCATAACTTTTTTCCCAGACTCTCTCTCTAACTCTCTCCCATATGAGAATGATCCAGCTTCTGCATTGTGACTTGTGTGAGTGATACTCATTTTGTAGTATCACTCCACTGCTAGGTTGGTTGTTCACATCCTGGAAGTACGTGATTTACCCACGAGATTCTTCGCTTCAGGCTCTACTAAAAGGTATGACTATGAAATTTTTCCTCTGTTATGTCATAATACTTTGATTTACATTGGTATCAGAGCCAATATGAGTATTTTCGTGTTTTTTTTTATGCATTAAAATAGGTGTATAATTTTATATAAATATATATACACAGTATGTGCATGAAAATTAATGAAGGAGAAAGATGAAGTGCAGGGTTTTTGCACTTCCACTCCCATTAGATTGATAGTGTAAAATACCTTATTTTTATGTCATTTTTATTGCCATAAATGTATTTATTTTGAAAAATGGAGTCTGGCAGTATCGAAATTGGACCAGAAAACATTTTAGAAGGCGGCGCGTGGGCCGCACGCGCCATCTGACGCCTTTAGTGGCTTCCACGCGCTGTCACGCTCCTTTACGCGCTGAGACACGCTTCCACACGCCATCACGCGTTGCCACGCGCGCGCCGGGCGTTGAGCTACGCGCTAAGCCACGTGCTGCGCCGCGTGCTGCGCTGTGTACTGAGCCGCTCGCCGAGCCGCGCCGGCTTGGCTGGTTTGACAGCTGGGGTTAAGGGTTTGTTTGTTTTATTTAAAATTCAGAATTACGTTAAATGGTCATAAGTAATTCGTTATAGATTTGTTTTAAGCGTGGTTAGTACTGTTAGACTCAGAATTAAATTTTCTATCTTCTGTAAAATTTTAGAATTTTTATGAAAATAAAAAATATTTTTCCTGAAATAATAATTCATTATTTCTGCTTTAAAATGCATTTGGTGTTGCATGATTAAGTTTCTGGGCTTGAATTTTTTATTGTAGACTATTGTTGCAGTTTACTATTTACTGGTATGGTTATTGCATTTTACCAGATTCTGAGATATTTATTTCTAATTTTATGTGTGTTTATTAGTTATTTAAAATTCCAGAAAATTCCAGAAAATACCAAAAGTGATATACTTTCTGTTATGGCATAATTTGAATATTAAATACAACATATTGTTATTTTTTGCCTAGAGTTTCTAATATGTTGTAATTAGAATAGCATGATTAATTGTTATTTGTTTAAATTTCATTATTAATTGTGACATAGCATGAGTTGGTTGTGAATATACATTATGATGCTATTGTATGGAATTAAAACTTTTTATCATGCTTTTAGACATGCCATAGTCAGTGGGAGGTTATTCGGTTGAGAGAAATCTTTGTAGATTAACTCCCGAAAACCAATATTTTGCGGATGAATTAAATTAAATTTTGGATAATTGTCACCTATGGCGCAAGAGATGAT